AGAGAGAGAGGAGCGAATCCCCCAGTATCCACCACCCACCCTCTTGTAGATCGACTTGCGGTACTTGCCGGAGCGGTGGCAGCCGGAGCAGCGGCAGTGGATGGTCTTGGCCTTGACGTTGGCGGCGCGGCAGAGGCGCATGATGGTGTAGGGCACGAGGGGGAGCGCGATCATGGTGAGGATGAATATGAGGAACAGCGAGCTGTTCTCCTCCGCCGCCGCCATGGCCGCTTAAACCACTACCACCACCTCACTACTCCTCCTCCTACCGGATAAACCAACCCCCCCTGCGCACCACCAACAAACAGTCAAACCCACCGGAATCCCGAGCCGAGGGGGAGGGGGGGTTTGCGGCCGCCGGCGGGGGGAGGGGCTTGGCTCACCTTGGGCGAGAGCGGAGAGAGGGGGCTTCCCCCACCGGATCTGGCGGCGGGGATGGCCGGAGGCGGGGCGGATCTGGGGCGGCGCGGCGGCGCGGCGAGGCGAGGCGAGGCGAGATCGGGGAGGGAGGGAGGGAGGGAGGCGGTGGTGGGGAGGGGATAGGTTGGGTTGGGTCGGACCACGACACGGGGGGGAGGTGATGTCAGTGAAAGAGGAGAGGTAGTTTTGACTCTCTGGAGACACGAGCGGCCACGGCCCAGGAAGTGGAGGCCTGGCCCGCTTTAGGTGGAGGAATCGGGCCGCTGTTGATATTTTCTTTTTCTGGGAGACTACGCAACGGTATTTACCGTTCTAGCTGACGTCAACATGATATCGGAGGTGTCGCATCTTCAGTACCAGACATGATATCCCGTAGATATCACATACGGTACCTAAATATTGTACTGACGTCATCATATACCATGCCAATGATATCATGGTACCAGATATGATACCTCATATGCATCATGCTGACATCATCATACATAGCTATTCCGTTGTGCGCTCATTCTCGGTACTGGTAATTTTTTGAATATATCATAAAGATGTTTACAGAATTTTAAAAAATGTTGTGCACATGGAAAACAGTACTGGTGATTTTCGGATATTTTGAAAGTGCTTTTCTGAAATTCCAAAAAAGTTTGGCCAACAAATTTGCTCTTTGGTCATTTTCGGACTCGTCCAAAAATAACTTTTCGAACTTCTGAAAGTGGGTTTTGCTCCATATTGATTTTGGGATTTTTTTTCCAAAAGTAGTTCTCAAAATTTTCGAAATTGCAAAACTTGAAAAATCAGTACTGGTGCTTTTAGGACTTTTCCGAAAAGAATTTTCAGAATTTCTGAAATTGAATTTTGCCTTGTTTTCGGGAGATTTGTACTGTTCGAATTTTTCTCGAAAATGATTTTCGTAATTTCTAAAAATAGAATCTTAGCCTCCGACGGGCATATTTGAGGTTGTGGCTATAAATAGCTCTTTTCTCCTCGGAATGATGGTTGCTGCTCTTATTGAACAACTCGTACCCTTGGCTCGCATTGCTTTCTCACTTCTTACTCTCCACGGATCTCCAAGCTTGGATTTTGTGTATGTGAGAGTGTTGGATTTGAGTTTGTATGAGTGCTTGGTGTTGACTTCGCAAAGATTTGTTAAGCACTTGATTCATCCCAAGATATTCTTGTTTCATCTTTTACTCGGAGGTTGAGGCTTAGACATGGCATAGCTCTTGTGCCACTGATCTACTTGTGGTAGTCGGGAGAAGTTTGTATGTCAGATCTCACCTCTGAAGAGAAGAGATACACTAGTGAAAGTAGGAGTGCATTCAATGGCAGACCCAAACCCTAGGTCACCTGAACCATCGCCTGGGGCCTTGTGGTTAAAGCACATATTACCACATGTAAATTCACCATGTATTTGATAGATGGGCCAAAATTACAATGGGCTGACCCAGGGCCTACCCAAATTCCGAGCCCATCCCTGAGTGCATTTGTGCAACCTCTAGAGGAAAGGGTTAGCGAAGATCCGACTCGTTGTGAGCTCCTCAATGGAGACTAGAATCCCCTTAACGATTCAAACTTTGGGAGCACCTCATCTTGCAAGAACCTTTGTGATATTTCCCTCTCCTCCTCTAGTTTTGTTTGCTTGTGCCGTTAATAGTCTAGTTGTTGTTTGTGCTTGCTCTTCATTCTTGTGGCTTGCTAAATCTAGTTTACTTTGTGTATTTTGCTTGCGAAAAGCACTTTCGGAATTGTCTGAAAAGCATTTTCGAAACTTTCGAAAAGTATTGTTTATGCATTACTTAAGTTTTTTTTAATTCACCTATTCACTGCCTATAGGCGTAAGTGACCTTTTCAGGCTTTCACTTATATATAACTTACTTAGAGACGTTGAAAAGTCATGCTAGCGCAGTCGACAACGTGCCGCTCGTACGACGGACGGTTATTAGAATAAATGGGCTAGGCCCAATTTTATTCCTAATAAATTCCATTGGCCTACAATTAATGTTAAGAGATTAATACCACCTTGAAAATTTATTTGGAGAGATCTTAACTTAAATAGGTTGCTACTGGAGAGCACTTGTTGACTGGTTGAGATGATGGTGGGACAACCATACGTGCGCACGTGCTGGGCCAGGGCTAGGGCCTCACATTTCTTATCCTGTATCAAAAATTGGTGCTTTTGCCGTTGGTGTTCTTTCCAATCTCAATGCACTTGACCGCTCCACCGGAAATTCCCTCTGCCCCTACCATACTCCAGCTTGGTTGCCCCTACCATACTCCAGCTTGGTTGTTTCCACCACCTGCCTGGGGTTGATCTCTGCCCCTACCATACTCCAGCTTGGTAGTTTCCACCACCTTTCTAGGGTTGAGCCCTAGGTACTCTAGCTTGCTAGTTTCCACCTTCTGCCTGGGGGTTGAGGCCTGGGATTTGATGGGTTGAGCCCTAGGATTTGATGAGGCAGGATCTACAAACGTCTGCCTCGGCATTCGATGAGACAAACGTCTGCCTTGGCAGCTAGCATAAGCAAGTGTGAGCCGGAGAAGCCAATAACTTACCTAACCCAGTCAGGCCTCTGATTCCAATGAGTTAATTCAGCAAGTTCCCCGTGCTACCCCCATAGGGCGTTGCTAGTGGAACGAGGAGGGTACAACTGCTTACCAGGTTAAAGTGGTACGACTATAAGAGCAAGTTTAATAGTATAGCCAAATACTAGCTCGAAATCATCTATAGTCAATTTAATAGCCAATTCATACAATAGTTATCTATAAACATATACTACTCTATTAATATATGGTCCCACATGTCATGCACACATTGCATCTTGGAGTCCATGCTACAGCTGGCTATAAATATGTACCCCGCTGCTCTTCTCTCTCATCTTTTATTCTTCTCGAAATGTATTTATAGCTAGCTTATAGTCTGCTATTGTAACAATTCTAAGTTTGCTTTTATACTGTAGTAATAGGCCCTAGCCCATTCTACTTGACTTGAGAACTTTACTATCCTTCTTCTTTGCCAAGCCTAGCTTGCCCTATGGGAATAAGAAAACCCTTATCAGTCTCTCTCGTGCCAAAAAAGAAAGCTGTCCTTCCCTAGAAAATTGAGTTCATTTTGTTTCGTAGTAGTAGAATTGCTAGAAAATATAAGATTTCATTGTAGAATCCTAAAATAAAGTAAGTACTTTTTTAAGTACATGCCAATCTAGATCTGGACCTCTACATATAAAAGTCAATTTTCTTTTTTTAAAAGATATTTAATGCAATGAAAACACCTCCAGTATAGTGTCGCTTCGGTCACTATCACAGGATAGGATCCCCTTGGAATCTGTCTAGTGGGCTCTTCCCGCTAGCGACAGGAAGAGTGGTCCACAACCAGTGCCTTCTTGTCTTTAGTTGCCAAGGTAGCTGGGTTATGAGATATCCCACTGCTTGCAAAGAATAGAAAGAGCCATGCATGCCTTTCTTGGCCACTTCACCGGGTGCTTATGAGCTGATTTTACTAGCTTTAAAGAGTTTTTTTTCGCACAAACAACACAATAGTGGGTGTGGCGAGGCGTGGCTACTGCTGCTGTCTCCCCCATAATATTTTGCAATGGATCGGTAATTGAATCAGAAGATTCAACTATTACTCGTCCAATGGTTAAACGATTCAATCCCGATTTGGTTCGGTTTTTACTCCAGTATCGGATCCGAATTGATTCCTCTCCCTCTCACGCATATATAAGCCCATCACCGATAGACAAAGGATACACAGATCCGCTCTTCCCTCTCACGCATTGTTTTCTCCTCGATAGTATATCTCCTTCTTCTGTTCCTGTGATGCACCTCTGATTCCAAGCACTTGCGTGCACAATTGTTTGGGACGAGCAGGCCTCGGGAACTCCACTCGCTTGAGTACCAATATGTGTAGGCGAGCTATCAAGTTTTTGGGAAGTGCTTCCTAGCATGACTGCTTCGCTGTGTCGATTCTGTACGGCTTCGACTACTTCCTCTACATCGTCCACTTCGACTACTTCCTCTACATCGGCATGTCTACTGGAGGAGGAAACGGTGCGGCAACGACGCACCTGGAGGTGGCGATAACGTCAACATCACCAGAGGCAACAAACACCAACAATGCCTCATCCAGTTCCCAAGCATTCTCCGAGTATGTCACATTTCTAAATATAGTGTTAAAACATGTTTCAGCACGTTCATGTTTAGCACTTCACTAGATCAATTCCTCTTGCACATGTCATGTTTATTATCTTAATTTTCTGGATTAAAATATACTAAATTATGACCATATTTCCAACAACGATTATGTGTTTGATCACCCGCCCACATCATGCGTGAGAACTTTTTTCCTCTGTTGCCAGCACAAATCTCGAAGCACATCCAATGATCCAAGACCACAAGTTTTTGAAGCCATTTTCTCTCCATACAAATTCAGCAACCCTATTCCTAGTGGTTAGGATAGGAAATGAACTTTTTTTTAACTTATGCCTTTCCTTCAAAAAAGAGAAAAGACTTTAATAGATGCCTCATCATCTGGTCTCTCGTCGCTGGCCCGGATAGAGGGCGCGCTGTCAATGTCACAGCAAAACTAATCCAAATCCAAACCGCCCCCGAAATTAAGCACACCTGCCACGTCTCTCTCTCCCTCGTTGAGCAGCAGAGGCGCCGCCTATCGCCGCCGCCGCCGCCCGCGACCAGGAGATTCGGAGGCGATGGGGCGGGAGGCGGCGGCGGAGGCGGAGGAGCAGCTGCTGCGCCGGAGCCTGCGCCTCTTCGCCGCCGGGGAGCGCTCCTTCCGCATGGACCGCCTCTCGCCGGACGCCGACGCCCTCCGCGCCGCCGTCGCCGACGTGCTCCCCCGCTTCCTCGGCAGCTACACCGACGACATCCTCGCGGTACGTACGTGTGCCGCGTCGCGTCGCGTGCCCGCTCGCACGGCCGACCTCACCTTCCCCCCCTCGCCCTCTCGCTCTCCTCCTCTCGCGTTCCGTGGAAAACCCTAGAGGCTAGAGCCTAGGCGTGGGGTTGTGGCAAGGGGATTCGGGTGGCATCGGTGGATGACGGAGATGTGGTTGGTTTTGTTCAGTGCTCTGTTGGATGGAGAGATGATAGGAAGCAAAATGGAGTACTGGTGGAGTTGGAGATGGGATTGATTGGGAAAAGGAGATACCCCAATTTTACATAAATGGAAAGGGGGACTTGTCGATTGGAGCTATATCGAGAGTACAGCTCCCAACTTTAGAGAAATGGAATGGTTGATGTGTTGTTCTGGAGCTAGGATTCAGAGTTCTCTAAGTAAGCCAGTAAGTACTAAAATCTGATCTTCTAAAAAAAAGGCACTAAAACTGATTACAAAATGTAATACAAGAAATAGAGTGAGATAACTAGCCACATGGAATTCCAGCGACTTAAAGAGTATTATGTTCGAATATGGTAAAGACAATATGTGCCCCGGCTTTCTTGTAAGGAGGAAATAAGCGAATATGTACTTTTGGTGCGAGGATTTTGAGCCACTTATACGTCTAACTGGCTTCAAGGTTTAAAGGGTTTTTACCACACCAATACAATATTTAGATTTACTCTACCTGTATAGGTTAAGGGAATCACTTCTTGCATATCATAATCAGCAGTTGTGAACATTTATAAATACTATTCTGATCATTCAACTTGTTCTCCTTTGTGCTATTCCCATGAAAAAGAAGTGAACCTGCTTAGTATTAGTTTCAGCCTCAAATACAGCAGTAATTGCTTGAAGATATCTTTGGAGTGCTGTGGTAGTGTTATGACAAAATGGGAATTGAAGTATCTGAAACTCTCATTACTGTCCTTTTTGAATCAAATCCATTGTCTTCATCTATGGGTGGAAACAGGTGGGGGATGACTGGTGCTGGCCATCCCTACCCTTGTGCTTACGCAAAGTATTTCAGTTCTTTATTTGCTCATAGTTCCAAAATCAAATTGCAATGCACTGATACAGGTTTTATGCGACACATGGAAGTACACACAGTATTATAACCACATTAGATATGAAACGACTAGTATACATAGGGAACTGCTGCCCCTGCCCCACCTGTTTTGCTAACGGTCCCAGTTCCCTGCTCCAAGAGGAAATTATGCGTTACTTTCCTGCTTCCATGAGTATGCTTTGAATTTTGCAACCCTAAAAAATTCAACTGATAATATTTGTACAATTGTACTAGATTCTAGGCATGTTATCCTACAAATATACCTCACTTGAGACTTGGAAGCTGTTCTAAAATGGACTTAAAAAAGGAAATCTATTTCCGTCTTAACATTTGGTAGACAATAAATGATTCAGCATAAGATTGACGACATTAGCTATCATCTTCAAATTGATTCTTCGGCATAGGTCTAAGTTTTCATGATGCTTACAAATTATGTTGCTCTCTTTGATGTTGGTGGTTTGTCAACTGGGAGCTTTGAATGATGCGATCAGTACAATATCTGCCATTTGAGTTGCGCATGTTATATTTACTTTCATGTTAAAACATGCTTCGTTAATTGTGTTTATTACATTCTGACCAATTAGTTTCCTTGTTTTTCTCCTTGGCTGAAGGAATACATTGTCATTCTAGTCTGTAATGGGAAACACCAGTACCAAGCACGTGATGACTTGGAGGCCTTCCTTGGTGATGATAGTGCAAAATTTGTTTCATGGTAATTTATCTGTTCTTTTGATCAGTTAACTGTTTTTGTTTATTTTGTCTACCTCTATGAAGTTATGTTGCTTTAATATGGCTAAACAGGCTTTGGGGTTACCTCAGTAAAAAGGCTTTAACATTGGCTGACAATTCTAGCATCCAGCATGGTCTGACAAATGAGATCCGGAACCGTAGTACCAAGAAAAATCTTCAGGTTGCAAATGCGCTATCCGAGGATACTTTCATTGTAAGAATCTTATCGCATTGTCTTATGATCATCAGTGTCCATCAAGGTTTCCTGGGCCGGATCGGTTGCTGCCAGTTACCAGAATTTACCGGAAATCATTTCAAATACAAATAATGGTTACCGGCTGGTAAGGACTGAAAATAATAGCGCTAAGAAATTAACAAACTGAATTTAGATTGTATTTGAAGTATTCTGTCCAGTTTTGTTCTGGTACCCGTAACCGACCAATTAATACCAACTTTTTGAATGTTTGTGTCCATACAGCGTTCAACTTTTTCATCATATATCTGAAGTTCTAAACTAACATGAACACTGAAGGACTTCAAGTAAAAATTGCTCATATTTTTGGACTCAACGAACTCATCCAATATTGATCAGGTCAATTCAGATATCTCATCACCTCAAGAGCATCATACTCTTCAGAAGCATGACTCAACTGAAGGACAAAATGTGGCCCGACGCCACATTAGCTCGACGGTTACTGTTACTCCTGAAAAGTTGGTTGACGATCAATGTTATTGGGAGGGCCAACATCAGAAGGTCAATATGTTATACCTTTATCCTAAACTCCTCCTTTATTATGACATGAGGCATTTAATTTTATGATTCTCTGTCTTAGAGCAGAAAGATCAGAGATCATCAAGTGGCAGAAATTTCTCCACACTGAAGTCTGGTGTAGCTGTAAGGACAGCACAAGCATTGCCACAAGGTAAGAATTTTTCTTACTCATTTGTGTCATTGAATGCCGGGACAATTTTATTCTTCAAAACTATTCCTAGTCAAGCTTTAACTTTGACTGTCAGTGACTATAGAATACTTAGTTTGTCCCAACTGGCTGCTCACCCTGCCGCCCTGAGCTGCCTCAGCCCCCGCCGCTTGTCCCCACCCCGCCTGCCGTTGTCCTCGGCGCCCCGAGCCCTGCCCGTCGCTGTCCTCGGCCCTCCGCCGCCGTCCCACCGCTGTCCGCCCCCACACGCCGCCGGCCCGAGCTACCTCCGCCCACATCCCCCCATCGCTGTCCTCGGCTCCCCGAGCTGCCTCCGCCACCGCCTGCTGCCGTCTCGCCGCCCTTGCCTGCCCCTATCTCGCCGCCGCCCTGAGCTACCTCTGCCCCCATCCCTGCCCGCCACTATCCTCAGCCCCCCGAGCTGCCTCCGCCACCGCCTACCGCCGTCCTGCCACCCTGAGCTTGCTTCGCCCCCACTCGCCGTCGTCCCACCACCCTCGGAGCTACCTCCGCCCCCACCTGCCCCCATCTCGCCGCTGTCCAATGCTCCCCAGCTCCTCCACCCCCGCATCTGCTCGTCGCCGTCCTTGGCTCCCTCTTGACCACCCCGACAACTTCCACCCCCGGCCCCTACCCACGTTGACTCTCCGGCGCACCCCCTCTTGGGGAGAGATGGAGGTGAGGGGGGAGAGAGAGAGAAGGTGATAGGCTGATAGGTGGGGCCCCCAATTAAAAAAAAGAATTGCTGACTGGACTGCCACGTAGGATCAAAACCACTCCGGTTTGTGTAGGGGGTAATTCATCCGTTATTGATAGTTGAGGGTGAAAGATGTCTGGCTTTTGGGTTTAGGGGGGTAATTTGTCACCTAATAGTTTAGGGGTGTAATTCGGACTTTTCCCTTTATGTTTTATAAACTTATTCTAAATTTTTAATATAAAATTGCGATCAAAGTTGAACCTCAGAAATCGTGAAAAAGGGTCAAGCATCAAAATATTTTTTACTAGAGTGAGTATTATTTAGTGCATGATTCCAGTGTTAAGTATTCTGTCATTTCTATATTTAAATCTCAAACTAATGCAGTAATGCTGCCTTGAGCTGACCTACCTCCTTTTATACAATGAATTTTTATTGAGAAAGTACTTAATGAATTCAGTTCAAAGGTATATAGCAGACCTTGCAGAGTTTTGGGGTTGGCTTTGTATTTGTTCTCTCTTAATTTACTATTGTTGGAAACTGTATTGCAGATGAACTCCGCCATGAAGTGTGCATTGGAAGAAATGCTTCTGCAAGACGGTTTCCTTTGGCTGTAAGAAGTGATGATGTGCTAGATCCAGAATCTATTAAAAAACGTGGCAATGTTTGGGATAGGCTAGGAAAGCCTGCCATAAAGGATCGTATTTGTGCTACAGAAGATGATGACATGCATGTTCAAAATGGACTACATAAGAAGGCGAAGTTAATGGTCACTGAGCATGAGCTAAGATGCCGTATGAACTCAAGTACAGAAGGAGATTTATTTGATATAGCAAATTCCAGAAGATTTCCCAGAAGCTATCAAGATGTCAACACAGTACAAGCACATGAGCACACAGAGAAGTCCAATAGAAGCAGGTTGATTGGTCGGATAAATTTTGGTGATATTGAGCGTAATCAGCTTCAAGTTAGAGATGTTATTCGCCAAAAGTCCAGTCCAAATTTGCCAGCAAGAAGTGTTCCACTACAAAGTCAGAATGAATTCATATCTGAAGTGAAGAGCTCAGTAACAGCAGTCTCTGAGTCAGCATGCCATGTGAGTAAATCAACAAAAGGACAAGTACCAGGATCTAGCAAATTGGGTCAACTAGCTACACGGAGAAATTTAGAGACTGAAGTTTTGCAAAGTCAGCAAGTTAGCAGCCCAGCGCAATCTAAGACAGGATCTTCTGTACATGAAGATGGTGGAAATTGCTGTAACAAGCCTATGAAAAATGTTAGCTTTTATCTTCTTTAGTAACCTCCTTACTACTTGGGCACTTCTAGTAACCTAAAACTGGTCTTCTTCTTTATTGATTATACAGGAAATGCTGGATGTGAAACTAAAGCTCAAACAAGTGGAACTGGATGTGCTCAAGCTTCGTTCCAAGCAGGCACAGATAAACAATGTGAAGCAAGGTTTCCTATCATCAGGTTTGTCTATATTGTTTTGCTTATGGTCAAGGAACCTAGAGTAGATCACTTCGGGATATCATGCTTATATCCTTCCTAATTAATCATGTTAAGAAAAATCGGTCTGCCATTCTATTCTGGCACATCTATGATCTATCTGATGTTCAGATTAAGCTGTGAAATGAGGGGATGCTGTTTCCTGTTTCTACCATCTACATGCAATTCTGAAGATCAATAATCGTTGATAGTGAAATAACCTAGGTCAAAGTGTACATGGGTCATCTTCCTCCAATAACTTTTTGGTTAATTCTGTAATATGAGGAGTCGTTTATAGTTGAAACATGAGGGAACTCCTTATACATTATGCCATTTACTATCAATGAGAGGCATATGCATGAGAAAGATATCTCATTGGATATAATCATAGGAAACAATAATAATTTTTTTGCCTTGCCTGAATTCCAATATTCTCTAAACTATACCTTCAATCTTTATCTCAAAGTAGCTTCTAATTTTCTTGATCATGCCACAACAAGGTACTAGTACATCACTACATTGTATGCAATGCTTTTTCAAAAGCACATAGAGCAAGGCAGCAGCTTATTGGTGAAGTGTTTTATGCATTTTGCATGTCTGCAGTTCAATTGGCAAAACATTCTTCATTATATTTGTATAGGCACGATGTTTTGTCAATCAAAATGTTTACATTTAAAGTGTGAAAATCTGATAAAACTACACAAACCGTTTATCAAGACATAAAAAGCGAATATAATAGTTTCCTTACTCGAACATTACCTCTGAAGAAGTAAAACTGCTACCAAGGGAGTTCCTTTGTTCTTTTTTCAAGGGAAACTGATAGGCGGTGGGCGGTTATAACAGTCTGCAATTGGCCCATGACTTAAATTTTTATGGGTATGGCTGTCTTTTTCTGGAAACGAAATGGCTATGCGTACGACCAATGCATACAACCCATGTCTGACTCAACTAGTACAGTACATAGGCACAGCTGCTGTTTTCCTGGGCCCAAATGGAAATAAGCTGAGAACAGGGGTTGATGGAGGAGGTGTGGTTGGATGCCCGTTGTATGGCAGGGTCGTGTGTATAGCAGGACTCTTCTGGAAAAGTCCCCATGTAGACACGATTCACCTAAACTCATACTGTAACACCACCAGGAAACTAACAAAAGGTTCATTAGAGGTGGTCAAATTCAGTTGTGAGGACTAAGGTGTTACACCGGTGCAACTCTGAGTGATGTCAAGTGCATAGTTGATGATTATTATAGAGTACCAAAGTAAAGGTGAGGAACCAATAATGACAAGGCAGAAAAGATTTTGCAAAGTTGTCCCATGTATTTCAAGAAAAGGTCCATTATTTACCATAGAACGAGTCCCAGTTCTGCAACTTGCACCAAATAGCTATGTATTTGTTGATTCTGTTTCATGATAGAAGGTTTTGAATCTTGTTAACAATATGCCTGTTATGGACTCATTTATTGGTCGAACTTATCAGCTCAAGAATGCCATTGTGTATTTCAGCAACACCACAGATTAACAGGGTTGAAGAAGGTAGAGTTGTTAGGAATATGTTAGTTTGATTCAATCTAGGACTCTTTTAAGTTAGTAAGGTGTCAATTAAATTATATTAGGAATAATTGTAATTGGGTTAAGCAATAAAAACGATTATTAGTTCAACAGGAGGCATATTCCCCTCTCCAACCAACATTACATCGACATTGATGCCCTGCCCAGAACAATGCCATCATCATCATTTGTGTTCCGTATAATCTTTTTATACAATAGCTCAGGCGTGTGATTCTGATATCCTGCCATTATAATGTATGAACATAAGTTCTAATCATATTTTGTGTTCCTTTAGGTCCCCATGCTAATCTAGATGAGGATGCTGACTCCAGAACTGTTCTCGTGACAAATGTAAGAACCTTTCTGATTGTTCCTTTTAGGCAATTCCATAATTTCTTGTTTTTCTTCGTGGTAAATATTTTTGTAGAACATAATTCAATTACTCCCTCCGTTCCAAAATATAACAACCTCATCAGCACATACTCATTCCATCTGGATAATTGTTTCAGGTACATTTTGCAGCAACAAAGGAAGCATTGTCAGGGCATTTTATGAAGTGCGGCACTGTGCTTAAGATAAATATATTGACAGATGCAATTTCTGGGCACCCTAAAGGGTATATATACTTTCAAACTATTTTACCCGTGGCATCTATAAGCTGCCCTGTTGTTAATTGTTGGCTTCTTGTTGCATATCCTTGCAGGGCTGCATTTGTTACTTTCACTGACAAGGAATCTGTTGAGAAGGCAGTATCATTGAGTGGGTCATCATTTTTCTCAAGAGTTCTAACAGTATGACCTTTGTTTTCATTATCAACCTCACTCTATACTATTACTATACTTGTTAACTACTACTTCCTCCGTTTCATATTACAAGACTTCCTAGCATTGCCCATATTCATATATATGTTAATGAATCTAGACATATATGTGTGCCTAGATTCATTAACATCTATATGAATGTGGGCAATGCTAGAAAGTCTTATAACCTGAAACTGAGGTAGTAGTACATTGTAACCTTGGATCTGCCTAGGTCAACTACATTCTCATTAACTACTTGTTGTGGTCAACATTCTCATGCCAACACATTCTATTTCCAGGTAATGCGCAAAGCCGAAGCACCTCCAGGTTTTCTGGCATCTGTTCAACCGATCGGGAGGCCTCTACAGTCATGGAACTCACCACCCATCCAGAAAGGGGTGAGTCCAAGGCAGATCCCTGGTTATCACCTCCAATGGAAACGTGAGCAATCTGTGCTGGAGAAATCCCCTGCCAGTTGCCCTACTAACTGAAGAAAACCACAACAAATGGTCTAGAAGAAAATAGGCCTACTCTACATTGGCCTGGCAGTGGACTGTACTTGCAAATGTACAAAGTTTTTGCTGGAGAAAAATGGCCATGTTTGGCATCTGTTACTATGCCCACAAAATACAGGTTTCTTCCATACAAGGTATTGAGGGCTTCAATTGCGGCGAGATACGTGACATGGGGAGAGATTGCTGGCAACGCCAAATGAATCTGTTGATCAGTTTCCGATTGGACACGTTGTAGCGTATGCCTGAAAACTGTTTTCTGAACTTCACTTGAGTCTCTTCATATCTCTACTGTCACCCTTGTCAAATGTAAGCAGGGCGGGTATTCTGATGATAACATGAAATGAAATCACAGTTCTGAAACATTTACAAACATTTCTAAAAGCAGTATATGTAGTATGGAGTAACATATAGGTAAAAGTACATTGTGTTAAGGTATATGAAAAATTAATGCTTCCACCTCGGTCTCGGTCTATTTGAGTGTGTTAAGGGTGTGTTAGTGCGTAATGCTGGCAGTATTGCATGAATTTTACATAAAACATACAGTTTGAATTATGGTCATTCATGAATTCCACAACTTGACAATTCCACTTTGTGACTCAGGTTCTATTGTTTGCAAACTAAAAAAAAAACCCGAGAAATTTCCCATTTTCGCAACGTCTCACGGAGAAAACCCGAAGCTTCCTGCATAGTTCAATTGATTTGGTTACTTAAGGTGAAATTAGCTTCTTAAGTTCAAGTTCTAAATTTATACGGTTCCTGCATAGTTCAATTGATTTGGTTACTTAAGGTGAAATTAGCTTCTTAAGTTCAAGTTCTAAATTTATACGGTTGATTGTATTTATGACTAAATATTCTTTTAATGATATGCGACATATTCGTCGATAGCAAAGTGTCCTCGATAACTTTGTTAATATTAAGATATATCAGTTTAGTTTTCCGAAGTTGCTCATATGGATAGAGGTGTGTGAGTGTGCACATGTGTTTAGGGCTTTTGTTTGGTAGTGTTGGGAACAAATCTGTTCTGCACGGAAAACGAAGTGGTCCATTAGCGCGTGATTAATTAAGTATTTATTAAATTTATTTTCAAAAATAGATCAATATAATTTTTTAAAGTAACTTTTGTATAGAAAATTTTTATAAAAAATATACGGTTTAGCAGTTTAAAAAGCGTGTGCGCATGGAAAACGAGAGACGTGAGTTGGGAAAGTTAGGGTGTGTTTAGTTCACGCTAAAATTGTAAGTTTGATTGAAATTGGAACGATGTGATGGAAAAGTTGGAAGTTTGAAACTAAACACAGTCTTAGTGTACGCCAAAATTGGAAATTTGGTTAAAATTGGAACGATGTGACGGAAAAATTGGAAGTTTATGTATGTAGGAAAGTTTTGATGTGATGAAAAAATTGAAAATTTGAAGAAAAAGTTTGGACTAAACTCGGCCTTAGGGAAAGAACTCAGCCGTATTCTGTTTCTTAAAAAAAAAAGAAGTAAAGAAACGAAGCCTCTGATCATCTGATCTGACCGTTGATCAGCGATCGGACGGCTCCAGGAGGAGAGGAGACGACCTCCCATCTCCTCGACTCTTTCTTATCTCCGACGCCGAACAGCCGCTGGACCAACCAAACCGGGAAGCCATGGCGACCACGCCGACCACCACCACCACCACCACCCCATCCGCCGCCCGCCTCCTCGCACCCCTCACGCCGCCGCCGCACGCCGCCACCCACCGCCACGCGCGCTTCCTTCTCCACCCTCCGCCCTCCCGCGATCTCCCTATCCCTCTCCCGCTCCGCCGCCGGCTGCCGCGGCCGCCTCGCCCGCGCGGCCTCCAAGTCCAAGGGCGCAGGCGCAGGCGCGGCGGAGGACAAGAAGGGGCAGGAGCAGGAGCAGCAGGAGGCGTCCGCCACGGCGGTGGACGGCGCGGAGGAGGCCGGGGAGGTGGTGGCGGGAGGAGGAGGAGGAGGGGAGAAGAGCCCCGAGGCGGTGGCGGCGGAGCTGAAGGAGGTGCTGCGGGCGCGGAAGGAGGCGGAGGCCGCGGCCGGCGGCGGCGGGTGGTGGGCCGGCGCCGCGCAGGAGATGTCGGAGATCGAGTGGCCGGCGCCCGGGAAGGTGGTGGGCACCACCGGCGTGGTGCTCGGCGTCATCGCGGGCTCCACCGCCGCGCTGCTCTCCGTCAACGCGCTCCTCGCCGAGCTCTCCGACCGCGTCTTCGCCGGCCGGGGACTCCAGGATTTCTTCTGATGAAGGTTGAGCTGAGAGTCTGAGATAGGCGGAAGGTTCGTGTCTAGCGTAATTACTGCTCCTCGCAATTGCTACTTGTAGAGTGGTGATCGATGAAACCCAAACACTGCTTGTGTTTTTGCAAGATAAATATGGTTAGGTTCTTGACATTATTGATCTGTGCTAACCTCTGGTTGGAGATTTTCTCCAAACAATGAATTTGCCTGAAATTTTTGTCAACTATTCAGAAACCTACCTGGCTACCTAGATGTATTTTCTACTTTATAAACTTATTATACTACTAATATTTGGCTACCTTAGATGTATTTTCTACTTTATAAACTTATTATACTACTAATATTTGGCTACCTTAGATGTATGTTCTACTTTATAAACTTATTATACTACTAATATTTCACAAGAATTTTGATTTGTTGTTCCAGTGGTCTAAGTTAGCTCAAATTGCATAGCTACAACCACAATACATGAGTACATGGTTGAATGCCTCTATGTAGTGGTATTAACCGACCAAATTATCCTGAGTTCATTACAGTGTAGTTACAGTGTAGCTCTCATGTCTGAACTTCGCTGTGTAGCACTGTTTGGATCTCTGAGTCGCACATTGTCATTTTGATCTCACATAATTGATTATCATGAAAAACACCTATTCGAGTGCTCTACAGTGTGGCTGAATTAATTTCTATCTGTATATAATGGCATAATCTTCATTGTAGTTACCCACACCATGTGAACTGAGCATGGTCAATTGTCTAGTGATTAGCGGCGTTGCTGCTTGCAATGCCCCCCCTAGGGTTTTGACTCTCTACACCTAGTGTTTCTTGTTCATCCTAGCTATTCCTGTTGTTGGCCTTGCTTTATTCCATCTCTAGGCTCTGCACCACCTCTCATCACCCACCTAGTTCTGGTGGTACTCAGTTCCATTCCATGTGCTACCATCATAGGAGTACCCTGGTATCTGACATGTCCTATTTGGAGTGTAGAATAACTACAGGATCTCAATGGGAATCAGACGGTTATATGTGAATTTCCTGAAATCTAATTGCCCAATGGGGGCCTTATACTAGATCTTGCTGACCTAGATTTATGCACCAATGGATCTTCTCTTGTCATCTCTTCTTTTCTGAATGGGAAAAACTCTGTTTTGCCTTTTTTGACCTTTGGCTTTGTTTGCCTTCTTTTTAATTTGATTATCGATTGCATGTAAGAGTTGAGGTGCTGGTGTTTCTCCAACTAGTTCTGTGGGATATTGGGGTTGTTACAGATGAAGGCATAAGGGGTAAAGAAAGCAGCTGTGCTGAGGAAGCTGTCAATTTTTTTAACAGAAAAAAACAACAAAAGGAAAACATGAACCAGCCATCTGTTTACAGAACTGCACAATATAATTCTCTGCACCACACATACATAAACAACTTGTTTGTCTACAATCTGCAGATCCTACACCCATGACCCAAAGTATTGAACCACATGAAACAGTCAATGCTTATACAGTTATACAGAAATCAGTGATTCTTTTTTGTGCTGTAGCACCATCTTGGTTTTGATGGCATTATCAGGAAATGCTGGAGATTGCGAAGAAAGTTCCATGAACAATGTAGACATATTTTAATAAATGCCTACCTTTCATGAATCCTGGTATAGGCCTACCTTTCAATGCTGAAGCTAATGGTGAAGACGACAAGAATTAAATCGAGCAGTTCCAATTGGATGAAGCCGGCAAGCATCCATTTGTTCTGTTTGCCAATCTATCGAGGTGCTATGCTGATGTGATGTTGTGCACTTGTGCTGTCCGTATTTATAAGAATATAAGGTTAAACTCCAAAGCATTCAAGGTTATGCTACTGCCTATTTTCTAGTACGTTCATATTTATAAATTGCACCAGGAAGCAATCAACCAAAAGCTTCAGCTGCATTAGGTAACTTATTCACAGACCTATATGAAACAGTTGGTGCAATAACAGTGTGTCATGTTGATTAACCGAAGCTTAAATAAATAATTTTTTTTGCATCCTATTACAGGTGACTAAAAGCCATTATGCTCGTATGCTCTTATTACTATCCCTGAATCAAGCAATTTCATTACTACTCCCTCCGATATAAGTCGCTTTGATTTTTTATAGTTAAATTTAAAAAAGTTTGATCATGGTTATAGAAAAATATAGGAACATTTTCAATACAAAACAAACATATTATCAAAATATATTCAAATGTTATTTTTAATGAAACTAATTTGGTATTATAAATGTTGCTAAATTTTCTAGAAACTTATCAAACCTAAAGAAATTTCAGTAGGAAAAAGTTAAAAAAACTTGTAATATGAAAAGGATGCAGTATCTTTTATTACTCAAGCACTAGGTTCAGTACTACAATGTATAATACTACAGGACTGTTTGCCACATCTCCAGTTCCTGGAGTTGGAGTCTAGCAAAACAGTTTCAGCTCCACTTAAAATGGGAGCGGAGCTGGATGGAGCGCTCTCACAAAATGAACAATAACTAGAGAGGTAGAGTTGGGTTTAGTCTGCTCCACAATTTCACTCCAAACCTAATTCCTGAAGCTAAATTTAGGAGTTGGAGATCTACCAAACAAACCCTACTACTAACTGGGGCAAGCTCACTAGCAATACACCAACGGAACCACCCCATTGCCCCAAACAACCGTGGCCCCGCACTCCAGCGCCACCCAAGCCATCGTCCTCCTCTTGTTGCGAAGCTCAAGAACTGGAACTATTTTTTGGGTCAACAAAAAAGGAAAAAGTACACCGGAGGTCCCTGATCTTGTCACCGAGATACAGAAACGTCCTTGAACCGCAATAACAGACACCCGGGTCCCCCAACTATACAAAACCGGTCATCCAACGTCCCTAGTTGGTTTTGATCTCCCTAGCGTGGGACCCACGTGGCCCTACATGTCAGGTGTCCACATCATCTCTATTTCCCCTCTTCTCTCTCCCTTCCTCCCCTCTCTGCTCTCTCTCTCTCTCTCTCTCAGGCCAGGCCGACGGGGTAGGGAGCAGACGGCTGGGCGGCGGCGCTGCGACGGCGGCCTGCGGCCGGCGGCGGCGGCGTCGCCCTCTTCTTCTTCTCCCGCTCCCGTTCCGTCCTCATCGAAGGTGATCACCGCGGCATCGGGCACGATTAGGAGGATGCTCGAGGAGGGCCGCGGCAGCGGCGGCGGCGGCGAGGACGACGTCGTCGTCAACCTCCCCGAAGTCGTCAAGGGCGCCGCCCTCGCCCGCGTCATGGAGTACTGCGACCACCACCACGGCGGCGGCGCCGACCCGGGCTCCGCCCGGTCCTCCTTCCCTCCCGCCCTGGCAAGCGCAGCAAGCGAGGGAGCGCGGCGGCCAGCGCCTCGCGGTGGCCAGCGCGCAGCAGAGGACGGCCACGCCGGACGCCGACGCTCCGGCCTCGCCGGAGCCGATGAACGCCGCGGCAAGCGCGGCGGCGCCGGCCAGCGCCTCCGCCGTGGCTAGCGCGCCGCAGAGGACGGCCACGCCGGACGCCCACGCTCCGGCCTCGCGGGAGCCGATGAACGCTGCGGCGAGCGCGGCGGCGCCGGCCAGCGCCTCGCCGTGGCCAGCGCGCCGCAGAGGACGACGGCGGCGGAGTACGGGATGGCAGCAGAGTGCGGGACGACGGCGGCGGAGTATGCGACGGCGGCGGAGTATGCGACGGCGGCGGCGGGCGGGACGACGGCTTCCCCTTCGCCGTCGTTGAGCTCGTCGTCCTCGCGACCGTCCGCGTCCTCGCTGCGCTCTACCGCCGCGCCGTTCGTGGTGGGCGCTGCCCTCTTCTTCTTCTCCCGCTCCTAGGATCTTGCCGCTCCCGCTCCCTCCTCATCTCCCTAGACGCCCAACTCGCGGCCGTCTCGTTCTCGGCTTCGGCGGCGGCGACGAGGGGGAGGAGTTGTCGGCGGTGTCGGCTTTGGAGGAGGAGCGCTTGCGGTCGGGGTCGGGGACGGCGGCGGCGAGGGAGCCCGGGAGGCGGAGGGTGAGGGCGGTGTCCTCGAAGTCGAGCCCCAACACCGCGGACGACTGGAGCGGCTGTGTGCGCCTGGTGCTTCGACTCACGGACTTCGCCGGCGTTGGTCTTCACGGCGGTGGCGACGGCGGCGTCGGGTGCCTCCCCGCGTGAGCGGTCGACGAGGCGCGCGGCCTCGGCGAGGTCGTCGTGGGCGATGCAGGCGGCGGACCTCGTGCCTCGGTCGTTGGGGGACGACGCGCTGGGGGCCTCGGGCCTCGTGGCGGCAGCGGCGAGGTGGGCGTGGTGTGCGCGGCCGCCGTCGCAGCGCCGCCGCTCGGCCGTACAATCCCTACTCGTCGGCCCGGCCTGTGAGAGAGAGAGAGAGAGAGAGAGCAGAAAGGGGAGGAAGGGAAAGAGAAGAGAGGAAAGAGAGATGACGTGGATACTGACATGTGGGACCCACGTGGGTTCTACGCTGACTCAGCCGCCACATAGTCCAAAACCGGTGTCAAAACCACCAAAGGACCTCGGGTGACCGGTTTTGTACGGTTAAGGGACCGGCATATCTGGTTTTGCGGTTCGAGGATGTTTTTTATCCCGATGATAAGTTGAGGGACCTTCGGTGTACTTTTTCCAACAAAAAATGGGAGTGTGTGAGAGCGGTCCGGATACACGCGGGCATTTACCGGCCCGACTCTGACTCAACTAAGGATGGCCCATTGTGAGTTACCAATTATGGACAAGATTTGTTGGGTCAACGGTGTTGACCAAGGTCAAGGTGCTATGTCATATAATACCACCTTCAATACTATCATAGGAATTGATCTGTACATGTTTTAATATTCGTGGGAGCCGTCTTATCAATTTTCCTTTTTTAAGGATATATGAATTAGATTTTGGCCTACTTGTAAGGGAGTCCAAGTGGACTTTTCCTACACCAATCGACCCGAACATCTTACAGACAACCTTACACTCGATATTCGTCTAGGCCCCTGTTGGTAATTAATGACGAGCGCTAATTATGGACTAACTATTTTTATTGAGTTATATATTTTGAGTTAGGACCACATGATATGTGTGCATGGAGGTTTATTGTGGACTAAAATTGATGGCGCAAAGCAAAAGGAAAAAAGATGGTAAACTAGTGTTTTAATTTTAAATTGATCGAGGAGTTGAACGATGAAAATTGTGCTAGTTTATTTATAGCTTTGTCGTACTATAAAGAGGGGTAATGACCTAGCAAAGAGATGATTCAAAATGCCACATTATGTCATTTGCATTTAGACTTGGCTTGCTTTTATATTGATATGCTTCACTGTCCAGGAACGGTCTGACAGATGCCCAAGTGACGATCTGACCGGCCGATGATATCCGATCTGACCGCTGCATTAGGACTGGTCTGACCACTGTCTCAGTGCCGGTCTGACCGGCCGGCCATGTGCCCTGGGTGGTGTGCTCTAGGGTGGCCAATCCAGAGCCGCCAGAGCCGAGGTCGGTCAGACTAAGCCGATGGTGGTCTGACAAAGCCGAGGCCGGTCTGACTGACCAGTACTCTCCGGTCTGACCGGCCCCCAGTGATAGGTTCAAATTATTGTCTATAACGGCTAGTTTTCTAGCCTTTACAAAGTAGCACGGTATGACCAGCCACACAACGGCGGTCAGACCGGCAGTACACTGAGTTGGGGGATTTCGCCCCCAACGGCTAGTTTTGGTGGGTGGGAGTATAAATACTCCCCTACTAGTAGCAAGGGGACTCTCTCGGCACGTACTTCAATTGCATACACCCCTTGCACCTTTCCCACACTCACTTGAGCTTGTGTTCATCTATTGTAGTGGTTAAGGGTTGTTCTAGCCAAGAGTCAAGTGCATTTGCTTCTATTGTAGAGCTAGTGTGGCACTTGATCATCTCTGAGCCAGGTCATTGCTTATTACTGTTGGAGGTTGCCGCCTCCTAGACGGCTTGTGGAGGTGTTGCCCAGTGACCTCTCCGAGGAGATTGTGGAGGAGGCCCAGCGCCGGTTGTGAGTGGTTTGGAGTTCACCACCTTCTGAGTGAAGGAAGAACTACCCCTAGTGATCGAGGCTTGGTAGTCCTCTCCTTGGGCCGGCTCTCGCCTTGCCCACCCCTTGACGAAGGGGGCGTGCGGTGGCTTCGTGGTTGAGCGGTGGAGTTGGTCTCGCCTCAACGGGGATTAGGAAACCAACGAGTTTTCAAACCTCAGTGAAAAAGTGAAAAATTCCTTGTCTCTTGTCTCATTTATTTGTTGCATTTACATTTGTGCAATTTACATTTCATAGAGACATTTTTGAGGTCATATCACCCTAGGATTGCAAAACTTAATTTAGGTGTGTGATTTACTTTCCTAGAGATATACTTGAGCCACTATCACCCTAGGATTGCAAAACAGGGACGACTACCGGTTGGGCGCCCGATCGGGAGGGGGCGAAATCGGGCACTGACGTCAGCATAACGTCAGCGCCCGATTTACGTGCAAAATTATATTAAACTGATTTTTATTTTAAATTACTTATTCAAATCATGATCTGATTGCACCATTAAATTCGTTGCAATTAAATCTTCAAAACAAGACCACACATGGATATATTCCGACGAAAAAAAATTTAGCTTATTATTGAATTATTTTTAAATGTTGCACGATGTTCCACCAAGTATATCGAAATTGTTTCACTAAGTAGATCGAAAATGTTTCACTCGTTTAAATCGGGTGTTGTTTCACCTTATATAAAAACAATGTTTCAGCAAATAGCGAAAGAATATTTCAGCTCACTGCAACATTTGATTCATACATAGTGAAACATTACAAGTACACTAGGTGAAACATTTTTCGGAGGAACAAAAAATAAAATGAATTCCCTTAATAGGGGGTTTCCAAAATATGTGGGTTTTTTTGTTGCAATGGAATGTTTCAGTTCACTGTAACATTAGAACTATACATAGTGAAACATTGGAAGTACACTAGGTGAAACATTTTTTGTGAAACAAAAAATAAACCGAATTCCCTTGATAGAGGGGTTCCAAAATATGTGG